TTTTATTGCTGAAAACACCTTTGTGCAACCGTTTATACTGGTCGGGTTTAGTTTTTTTTTTCGAGTTAGGGCCTGATTCGAAGAAAAAGAAACGATGTCTAAGCTGGAAAGTGAAACAATCGATCCTCCTAGTGGAAAATATAACGGGGATTGTGTTTAAGTAATTCGGTGGATTGAGGATACTGCATCAGTTATAAGTGAAGACCAGAACGGAAGTCCAAAGGTGGAGTACATGCTCAAAAGACCGATGCTGACAAGCACAACAAATATTTGAGTATCACAATAACGGCAGATTAGCACAATAATCTACTGGTCGACACCACAAAATTTGGTCCTACACATTAAATTTTGACAAAGAACATCACAAATCGGTTGGCCACCGTAAATGTTGTGGCCGACACAAGATCGGTGTCCAAGGTACCACCTGCTACTTTCAGTCTCCCTTGAAAACCATCTACCCCTTCGACTACATCTACCCACCACGATGCCCACCTCTCACGCCTGGCAACTGCTCTGTAGCGAGCTCTCTGAAGGTGACGCGGACTTGCTGCTGCTGAGAATGAAAGCCTACAAGGCCATCAAAAGCCAACTCATGCCCTGCGCCGTGTGTGCGTTAGCATCGCCGCATTCAATGCGTTACAAAACCCTAAGCTGTGTGTGCAAGCAGTGCAAGGCGGTGTGACCGTTTATAAAGTGCTCGTGGCGTTCCAAGGTGCTGGTCTGCCAGGAAGCCAATACGGTAACCATACGCGAGCTTGGGAAGCACTTCTCTGCAGCTAACCCACGCAGCAAACCCTCCATTACACGAGCACAACGGACGTTCATCCACGGCATGACTCGCGAAGCCTAACACCGCTCTGAATTCAACACGCAATGTCGCGCAATTTCTCGCTGAGCCTACAAGACCTGCCCGAATTACGCAAAGTGCAAAATTGTGTTAGCCATTTTCGGCGGACCAAGCTCAGCGAAGCAGAAAGTGATGTTTTCTACGTTTCCCCGAGAGGTCGACATCAGCGTCAAGTGTTTTCTGGGCGACGGTTCGGACGACAGGCCATTCGTTGTTGGCGTTACGACAAAGCCACTCCTACGCTCGGCAAACCGCGACCCAGCCTCAGTTATCCTGCATGTGGACGCGACATTCCAGTTGGACCAAGTAAGCTACCCGGTTATTGTCTGCGGACTTTGCGATGGGTCGCGTCGGTTTCACTTGCTGGCTCTATTTCTTACGTCTCAGTTGGAAGAAGCTCACTTCTTTAGTGCATTTGCTGCACTGCGTGCTATGTTTGCTCAGGTGACTGGCGAACGACTGAGTGTGCAATACGTCATGGGCGACGCCGACTCGGCTCAATTCAATGCAATGCGGAGCGTCTTTAGGATTGACTGCACGTACACATATCTCATGTGTTTTTACCACGTCGTTGCTAAAGTACGGGTTGCAGTCAAAAGAGCGTATGCGTGGGCTACATGGTGACATTGTGGCTATGGTCTACAGAGACATTTACGATCTGCACATCTCTGTCACTGAAGACGAGTACTTCACGCGAAAGAAGGAGGTGTTGTTCCAGTGGAACAAGCGGCCAGAGTTGGATACTTTTCGGATGTACATGGAAAAGCAATGGTTGTCACGAAACTCTAGCAACTGGCAGTGCTATCTCACTCCATCGGGGTTTGCCGCTACTAACAACCCCTGTGAGACGTTTAACCGAGCGTTCAAAACGATTACACGCAAAAAGGTAGCTCAAGCTCGTTCTTCTACTGCAGCAGATGCGTGACTGCTGTAGCCATAGGTCAATTGCGGCGCTGGGGTTCCTTCATCATCGAAAACGGGACAAGCGCCTCCAAGCACGGGCGACATCTCTTCGTACGATTGTTTCCTCCGCGAACATGTGCACGACCGGTGCAGCATAAACTTCTTGATTGATGGCACGAGTGATGAAGTCGTAAGAGTTCTAGCAGCGCAGCCACCGCGGTTCTACATTCCTTCGCGCGGCAGGTCGGATGAGGCTCTAGACGTGGCCGCTCAGTTCTCCGTCAGCTATGCTAGAATGGAGGTGGATTCACAGTCGAGCACTGGTTGGTCAGTTAATCTTACGGCCGAGTATTGTCCGTGTCGATACCACGCAATGATGAACTGCCGCGTTGACTGGAATTTTGCACTGCATGTACGCAGCCATGGTGACGGAACGGGCGAGAAGTTGATGGTTAACCGGAGCCGCAAGCGCCGCAACCATGCAGAAATTAACAGACGAGAGCCTGGCCGCCCGATGAATGCCGGGCATGCACTACAGAAAGATTAATACACAACCGATAGTAATTAGTAGGCGGTAATGAGTCATGGATGTCGCTCTCGATAATATCACAGTACCTTGCATGTTGGACCACTGACAGATTAAATGCGTCATCACCAAACACTAATCCGCCAGCCCAGCAGCCCTCTGATCGTAGTATCACCAGTAGTACAGCAGACTGCTGTCAGCAGTACCGCTACTAAAGCGCGGTTTCTCAAAGCCACCATCCGTGGTACATTCACAGACAACACTGAAGAAGCTCTTGCAGCTATGACATCTAGCGTAGGAGAGCCCTGGTCTGTAGTAACGACTCCAGTTCAGCTACATGTATCTCCATGTCGAGGGAAGCAGTACCCTCCGCTGGATCCAACAGCTGGAAGCGACTTTCCTTCATCCTAGACGTCTCCGGCGGTGGGCAATCCAGTACTTGCAGCTCTTCTTCGTATCAGCAGGTCCACACCGCCATCATCGACAAGATCCTGCCAGCAGTGTCTTCACCTGCGCTAGCGTCACCTCCATCGCAGCTGCATACACTTCACCAATCCCGTACTTCCCCTGTGTCCTGCAGGCTGCAGTGCAGCAGGCTGCTGCCAGCAGCTCCATCTTTGGCGGTGGCCAAAAGAACGTTCCGAGTCCAGGTGTGTACCGTACATCAGGTTGCGGTGAGGTTGTCCGTCCCATGTACTTGTGCTGGTATGTATCTTATTGTGTTTTGCAGAGATTTTATTGTGTTTGTGATATTTTCTCTGCTCAAAAGACTTGGTCAAGAAAGGACACCGATCTGCATAGTAGGATGAAGCAGCCTGATATATTGATATAGTAAGTTTTATGTCAGCTTAAATCGTCCAATGCCGCTGGACGGTTTAAACTGAGAGAAAACTCGCTTGCTCCTGCATTCATCTGAAGTGAAGGGGTACCTTAAAAAAGGTGAGTTTGCTGTTATAGTCGTTTGACTTCAGGCATGGAAAACGTCAGGTGGTTAGTGAACGACAGTAGAATGGAGGTGGTAACGAAAAAAAGCACTTTCATAATAAATCTGGTCCCACATCATGTTGAAGCACATTTTGAACTAGCCACTCCTTTACGATAGTCTCACTAAATAGTTACTTTTTGCAGGACTACTGGAGGCTTAACAAGTGTCTAGTCAAAATTCAAGTTTACTTTGTTTTACATTGTCGAACAGTCACTTGCAGAACTAAACTGGGTTTAAACCCGCGTGCTTCGGTCCCCGAGCTTTACACCAGGTAGCGTTCTATTAATACCTACCCCAACTCTTTTGCACGTACAAACCAATAACCTAAACCCCAAAACCCTGTGAACGAAATCTAGACTTTCTTCTACCTACAAGCATCTCGCTACGCTCGGTTGGCTATCCCCTCCTCGGCGGCGTTGGTGGTGCCTGTGCACGGACTTCTCTCACATAAGTACGATCTCAAATGACTTGCGAACAAGCAAAAAGTAACTAGTTATATGTTCATTTTCCGTTTCCGAAACTGATTTTTGTCAAGTGGCTAGCACAATACGTCTGAAGTAACTAGTTGAGACATTATGGTAAAAAAAAGAGTGACTAGTTCAAAATTCAGAAGCGACTAGTTGAATTATATCCATTGTTTGCTCAGAATGCAAGGTATTATTTACCTGTGTTTGTTGCAGTCTTCGTATTGGAAAGCAATATGAGGAGTGATAGTTTGAGTGAGGTAACACCGTAATGACGCATGCCAAGCAAGCTTCTATCAGTCGTTCTTTTTCAGGTAAGGACTCGCTATTACTTTACTTCTTTTTGGCGGGATCTTGGGTCTTTTTGGTTTATACTGTTCTGTTTCATCAACTGGACTAGAGGTCGTTTTGCGGCTCTTGTAAAAATAACTCGCCATTCTGTCAAAATTATGTATTTAAATAATCATGGTAAGCTACTGCAAATTACAGCTTCACAGTACCAATCGCATAAAAGCTTCCAGACAATACTAATTTATATCATTGTTCGTATCACGAAATACTGAGTAATGTTTTTTTTCTAGACTGTTTTAATAAAAAACCTACTGTTAAGCATCCCATCTACTATTTATCATGTATTTTTCTTTTAAAAAAGGACAAATTCGGAAATAGTACATGTACCGTAATTTACTGTCTGTAAATTACGGTAGTGAAACGCTTGCTCAGCTATATGAAGTAATAGGCTGCATTCATCCGTACAGCCTATGAATTCTGTGTGT